TCCAACGAGGCGAGAAAGCTTTCAGTACTCGGAAGGTCCCAGTTTAGCTCCAAACACGCCAGCGTAGCTTGAAGCACTGTTGTCTGCCTTTTCCAATCGGCCCAACCACCCCGAAGCGCAGCGCCCAGCGGCACAAAGGATCAGAATTCGAATGGCTCGCGCGCTGAGCGCCGAGGTAGGGCCTGGCTCTTGATCCGCGACAGCTGCAGCCATCGGTCAGCAGTACATGAGTGGTCATATATGTATATATATATATACACTTCGGGAACATCATTTTTGGACAAATGGAAAATAGTTCACAGGCTTCAACTGACTGACTTTTCCTCCATTTGGTTGGACCCCTTTCCTGTTGGACAAGTAGAAGGGCCGGTTGAATTTGAAGAGGTAAGCTGTTCAGCACTGTTCTGAAGTAACTCCACCATCTCTTAAGAAAATGATAATTGGCAAACCCATCATCGCAGCTTTCTGGCTTCATGCAGTCATGTACTTCACTGGTTGGTGGTTGAGCCCTACCCGTCTGAAAAATATGACTTCGTCAGTTGGGATGATGACATTCCCAATATATGGAAAAATAAAAGCCATGTTCCAAACCACCAACCAGATTCATGTACTTAACATCTGCTTCACGCCTTTTTATCCATCTCGGCAAATCGCAATTAGCCATCCGCCCAAAATTCGACTGAAGCGAAGCACAGCCTGGCCTGAATCCAGGCCATCGGCTATCCATCTGGGCAAATCATGAAAATTAATCAAGCTCCACTGAATGCCATTGATGTATGCAGTGCATTCCTTCTCGAGTGATCCACACTCTGGGGTATTTGACGTCACAACTGCTCTCCCAGATTCCTCGTTGAGCTGGCTGTGCCGCCAATCCAAAATAGGAATCTTAGAAATTCAGCTGGGGCTATATTCCCATCCCACTTCCAGTTGCAAGCAACAAGGGCATGGCAAAAATGTCTGTCGCGGGATCTTTGGCTGCACCAACTTCGACCAGAAACTGCACAATGTCGAGATAGCCATTTTGAGCTGCAAGGAAGAGGGGCGTTGCACCATCATTATCTGCTTGATCGTTGGCTGCACCAACTTCGACCAGAAACTGCACAATGTCGAGGTGGCCAATTCGAGCTGCAAACGACAAAGGCGTTCTGCCAGCATTGTCTGCTTGATCTTTGGCTGCACCAACTTTGACCAGAAACTGCACAATGTCGAGGTGGCCATTGTAAGCTGCAAGGAACAGGGGCGTTGCACCACCGTTATCCGCTGGATCTTTGGCTGCGCCACTTTCGACTAAGAAGCGCACAGTGTTTAGGTGCCCGTTGCCAGCCGCTGTAAACAATGGTGTCCATCCTCGGGCAAACTCAGTCTCATCTATCTTTGCTCCTGCCTCCAGTAGCAGTCCCATAAGTTGAACATGTCCTTGCCCTGCAGCGTAATGAAAGGGTGTCTTGCCATCTGTGCTTGCCTCATTGGGATTTCGTGGCTGCTGCAGCAACTGTTCAAGAGCAACCAAGTTGTTGTCCCTAGATGCCGTGATCATTTTCTGTGTTTCTTCATCATCAGTTGGAGACGTGATCCGGAGAGAGGTCTGCAGAGTTGGTTTCGACCAGCGAAACCCGAAACCCGAAACCCGAAACCCGAAACCGACTGTTAAAGTTGGTTTCGAACTGCGAAACCCGAAACCCGAAACCCGAAACCGACTCTGAAGACTTAACTTCCCCAGGACCGACCGAAACCCGAAACCCGAAACCCGAAACCCGAAACCCGAAACCCGAAACCGACTCTGAAGACTTAACTTCCCCAGGACCGATCGTAACCCGAAACCCGAAACCGACTGTTAAAGTTGGTTTCGAACTGCGAAACCCGAAACCCGAAACCCGAAACCCGAAACCGACTCTGAAGACTTAACTTCCCCAGGACCGATCGTAACCCGAAACCCGAAACCCGAAACCCGAAACCCCCAACCGACTGTTAAAGTTGGTTTCGAACTGCGAAACCCGAAACGCGAAACCCGAAACCGACTCTGAAGACTAAACTTCCCCAGGACAGATCTTATCTAATCTAGATCTAACCTAATCTAATCTAATCTAATCAGTCTATCTAATCATCTATCTAATCTAATCTAATCTGATCTAATCTATCTAATCTAATCTATCTAATCTAATCTAACCTAATCTATTCTATCTAATCTAATCTAGTCTATCTAATCTAATCCAATCTACCTAATCTAATCTAATCTAAACTAATCTACCTAATCTAATCTAATCTATCTATCTAACTAATCTAATTCAAATCTAATTCCATTCTAATTTAATCATATTTAATCTACCTAATCTAATCTAATATAATCAAATCTAATTCAAATCTAATCTCATCTATATAGTCTAACCTAATCTCATCTACCTAACCTGCTCTAATTCAAATCTAGTTTAATCTATCTAATCTTCTACCAAATCTAATCTAATCTAATCTGATCTAATCTACCTATTCTAGTCTAATCTAATCTCATCTAATCTAATCTAATCTACCTAATCTAATCCAATTCTAATCTAATCTAATCTAATCTACCTAATCTAATCTATCTAATCTATCTAATTTGTTCTAATCTACCTAATCTATCCTAATCTAATCTAATCTAATCTACCTAATTTAATCCAATTCTAATCTAATCCTAATCTAATCTAATCTAATCTACCTAATCTAATCTATTTATAATCTTATCTATCTAATCTAATCTAATCAAATCTAATTTCATCTACCTAATCTAATCTAATTCTAATCTAGTTTAACCTATCTAATCTTATCTACTCTACCTAATCGAATCTAATTCTAATCTAATCTAACCTAATCTACCTAACATAATCTAATCTACCTAATCTAACCTAATCTATCTATCTAAGTAATCTAATTCTAATCTAATCTTATCTACCTAATCAAATCAGATTCTAATTGCAACCAAAACTAATCTAATCTAATCAATCTAATCTAATCTATCTAATCTAATCTAACCTACCTATTCTATAATAATTCTTATTCCAATCTAATCTAATCTACCTAATCTAATATTTCTAATCTAATATTTCTAATCTAATCTAATGATATCATATCATATCATATCATATCTATCCAACTAATCTAATCTAACCTAATCTAATCTATCTAATCTAATCTAATTTAATCTACCTAATCTAATCTAATCTAATATAATTCTAATCTCATCTCATCTATATAGTCTAACCTAATCTAATCTACCTAACCTACTCTAATTCTAATCTAGTTTAATCATGTTTAATCTATCAAATCTAATCTAATCTACCTAATCTAATCTAATCTAATCTAATCTAATCTACCTAATCTAATCTGATCTACTCTACCTAATCTAATCTAATCTGATCTAATCTACCTAATCTAATCCAATTCTAATCTAATCTACCTAATCTAATCTATTTCTAATCTATTCTAGTTTAATCTATCTAATTTAATCTAATCTACCTAATCTAATCTAATCTAATCTAATCCACTCAGTGACAGCTACTTACGGGTGCTGGCAGGTTTCCCCCAAACCGTTGCCGTTTCTCCTCTCTGACCTTTTCAGGCGCTTGTCACTCACCGCTCTTGTTTTTGCCGACTGCATGGAGAGCGACACTTGGGTGATGTGAGATCGGCATCGTACTGGTGAATCTAAAGGTGGTTTCGACCTACGAAACCCGAAACCCGAATCCCGAAACCGACAGCGAAAGTTGGTTTCAGGCGACGAAACCCGAAACCCGAAACCCGAAACCCGAAACCGACAGCGAAAGTTGGTTTCAAGCGACGAAACCCGAAACCCGAAACCCGAAACCGACAGCAAAAGCGGGTTTCAATCGACAAAACCGGAAAACCGAAACCCGAAACCCGAAACGGACAGCGAAAGTTGGTTTCAAGCGACGAAACCCGAAACCCGAAACCCGAAACCGACAGCGAAAGTGGGTTTCAATCGGCGAAACCCGAAACCCGAAACCCGAAACCGACAGCGAAAGTGGGTTTCAATCGACGAAACCCGAAACCCGAAACCCGAAACGGACAGCGAAAGTTGGTTTCAAGTGACGAAACCCGAAACTCGAAACCCAAAACCGACAGCGAAAGTGGGTTTCAATCGACGAAACCCGAAACCCGAAACCCGAAACCCGAAACCGACAGCGAAAGTTGGTTTCAATCGACGAAACCCGAAACCCGAAACCCGAAACCCGAAACCCGAAACCCGAAACCCGAAACCGACTCGAATCCGACTTTTGGGTGGCTCTCCGGATCGGAACTCATCAGTTGGCCAGAATTCCAAGACCACGAGCTGGATCTTCAGTGGAGCTGGATCTGCAATTTCATCATCCTGGATCTCATGCGAACCATCTTCAACAAACAATCGTTGCTGGAATCTGGAAATGCCAACCTTGGCTGCCAAGGCTTTCTTCACTGCCTTGCCTGTTTTGCCTTGCAGGTCATCATCAAGGACTGTGAGAGTCTCGCCCGATGTGAGGAAACACACCTCCATCGCTGCAAGCCCCAAGGTGAAGTGCAGAACAAACGAATCTATATGTGTCTCATGTGTTTCTTCTCTCTCTCTCTCTATCTGGATATATTCATACACCTCTGCGTGTGTGTAAATATATTATGCATATATAGATGCATACATGTATCGCATGATGGACAGTTTGGATAAACACGGACAAATACTGTCAAACCAAACCTGCTAAAACAGTTCATATGTATGCCAATCCTTTACAAGTTTTACAAAAACAATCAATGCTACACACTCGATAATGCTTTTTCAGAATGTCCAGTCTGGACAATCTTCTGCAGCAGCAAATGTCGCAGGGGTTCATGCCACGAATAAAAACATGGTTTTCAGCATGGCTAGGTCTAGGAGTCTAGGTGATACCGATTCAGGATTTGGAAATCGAACATGAAGCATCTTGATACACGATCATCCAGGGACGCGCACGATCCAGGGTGGAACTCACCAAACATCAACATTTCCTGTAGATCGTCCTCGTGGGTCCAAGTGGATGAAGGCAATCTTTTGTTGATCACTGCCCCATCAACAACTTCATTGTTGACTATTGCAACCGTGTAACCCTCTGGCTTTTGGGTAAACTGCGGTAAACTCTGATTTTTTCTAGTGAAAACCTGTTCAATCATCATCATCATCATCATCATCAATAATGATAGTAATAGATGATAGTGGATATGAACACTAATAATCATAGTAGTACTATTATCGATAAATATCATCACCATCACCTTTAAAAAAAGAAACAACACACATCATTTACCATCTGGTTCTTTAACAGTTCGCCATGGAAAGATCCACCATGCTATTAACAGCTAAACCATCTATTTCGATTAAGGCCATCGAAAAACCATGGCATGGAGTAGTCATAACCAGATGGTATATCCCATTAAATCCCATTAAATCCCATTAAACCACCATTTTCCTATGGTTTTCCTATATCTTTTTTCATAACCAGCCCCAACTCAGCTCGGGGCCGGCAGCACGTGGCGCGTGGGCGACGTGGGCCGCGCCGGCGACGCCGCTGCCAGCGGCGCGCCGGGCCCACCGGGCCCACCGGGCGCCCACGGCAGCGCCGTCATGCGGCCGCGCAGGCGGCCCAGGCTGCGGGGTCGGCCCAGCTGCCTGCAGAAATATGGAGTCGATAGGGTTTATCATATGTAGCTACAAGGTGGTGCCCCATAGTTAGCTAAGTTGGTTTATAAACCCCATTAACTATAGTTATATCTGCCATAAATCATAGTTATGGGAGTTATAAACCAACTTAGCTAACTATGGGGCACCACCTTGTATGATATATAGTAGCAATAGTTAATTGTAAACTATTGTTGGAACTTTTATATAGCCCATTTCAGAATATATATAGCAATAGTAATGAAAATCGTAGCCATATAGAATTATATTTAGTTATAATTAGTAGTATCAACAATAAACATATTATATGTGTATGTATGTATATATATATATGAGCAATAGTTAGTAGTTGCAACTGTTAATTGTAAATTATAGCAATTGATAGGTATTGAATAGCAATTTACCGTTTATAGTAATGTAGATTATTAATTTATATATATATACATAATAGGTCATAGTAGCAATAGTATGTAGTAATTAATAGTAATTAATTAACAGCAAGTTATAGTAAATGATAGTAGTATACTTATATATATATATATAGTGATAGCAGTTAATCAAATGTACTATAGCAAATCATGTACAAATAGGGAATTTTCCAGCGAGCCATGTTCGACTACCAGAGGGTGTTCATGGTTGTAATCACTGGCTATGGACAATTAATCAAATCCCCACAATATTTTACACCCCCTGTTGCATGGTCCAAATATGTGTAAATCCAGTACGTCCACCATGGTTCTGGGAGTGTTTAATTTTGGGGAGATGGGTCTAATAGTGATAACAATTAGTAGTTGTTAACAGTAGAAACTATATCCACATTAGTAATATATGGGTTTTATTGTATGGGAATCAACGGGAACTAGTCACTATAGCAAATAGTTTTTTCATAGTCATGTGCGTTAGTTACTATTTCATCATATTTCAAATATATTTCAAATATGCACTAGGATTTTTTTGGGACATAGTTGTACAATTATCTACCATGGTAGCAAATTGGCTGGGATTTCAAGAACCTGGAGAGATGGAATCAGCGTTTCAGAGCCGAACAAAATTTAACCGGCAATCAAGCAATGAGTTCCTTTGATGTTCCAAAGCTGTTAACATAATCATATGGAATCATATGAGTTTGTAAAAATAGAGTAGCCAGAAAAATCCACTTGTTGATCATCAAAGTTATTCCTATGGAAAATGACACTTTTGGGAGGTATACACCATTTTCAGACGAAACATGAGCCATTTTTGCGATGGCTACACGTGCGAAGGTGTAGTCGTAGGCTGGAAAAACCTCACTGCCATTGGGATGGCTTGGATGTACCGCTGAAAGGAGCATCTTTGATCCCTTCAGATGTTTCTGAATCTCACTGGCTCGAAGCAAGAATCCAGCGGTATGAGGGAATAGACCCCAAGTTCCGGGGCCGCAGGGCCATAAATTTTCCAGGTCTGACCTGACCAGAGGGGCCCCATGACATGTTTGAGAGGACTTTTTTTGATATATGCACTCCATCAATCCATCAACACCTCGAAAACTTCCTTGACCCCGAGCCCTTCTGAACGCAGTTTCTGAGCTTTTCACGTTCTGCGTTTTTGGGTTTTTCATGGCACAGCATCCTCTTGGATTTCGTGCCAAAGTTGGTGTCATGGGGGCCCATCTAACTATGAAATCTTCCCATCCAACAGTGTCAAGGGTTTTAAACTAACTTTAAAAGAAAATGTTTTGTCTGATTGGGTATCCCCAGATCCATTGATTAGTCATGATGATCCATATTTTGCTATTGCCATTTAGGAATATATATATATATATATTATTTTATCATATTATATTATATAATATTATATCATATCATATCATATCATATCATATTATATTATATTATATATACTCCATTTTCAGACACACCCACATAATCCATACGTTTGGCTTTCTAGATTCCATCATATCCCCATTGGTTCTATATCTCATCATATCCCGATTAGATCCCTGTTAAAGAAAGATGATGTCTTCCATATGTTCCCAGCCACATATCCCATCATATCATTAGGTAGAATATCCCATTATATCATATTATATGCGGATGAAATTAGGAAATTTATTATCGGAAATTAATACTATCTCCCATTATATCATATGAAATTAGGAAATTCATCATAAATCATTAGGTTTATAGAAAATTTATAGATGAATTTCCTATGATTTACCAAAAGCAAAAACATCCCGTTTCCCGCAATCTCCACATTGAAGTGGGGCCGCCCGCTTCGTTGGATATGAATAACCATAACTACAATCATAGAAGAACCATAGATAGTAAATTAAGCAATCTATAGTGATAACCATAAATTCTAGTTTACGAACTATACACACTAGTTATATCATGTTATATCTATGAAAAAATACAAGAACCATTGTCATTATCCTATGAATATAGGGGATTCCCATCCCCCATGAACAACTTTCCCTGACCTGGCTCGTACACCTCGGCGTTGTCCGCTCGGTGAAGTGGCCTCCGATAGGTTTCGCAACGAACTAATGATGCAACCCCCCCAAAAAAAAGAGATGCCGAACATTGAAATCCTCCTGAAATCATGATATCATGTCATAAACTGGTGGGTGGTATACCTACCCCTCTAAAAAATATTTAAGTCAGTTGGGATGATTATTCCCAATATATGAAAATATAAAAAATGTTCCAAACCACCAACCAGTAAAAATATTGTTCTCTATCTTTGGGGTGATGACTTTCTATCGTTTGGGGGATTACTTGAAGGGAAATGAGGCTTGAAGCAACAAACATGGCGGCGATTTAAGCATGACAAATGGCGATGGAACCATCTTGGTGAAACTGGCAAGAGGGATTCGATAAAGTACGTGCATCGATATCAAATGGTGGTGAAAAAACTTGTCTCTTGGGCATTTAAATGAAAATGGCATAAACTACTGTAACTAGCAAGAAAATTGATTCTGGGTTGGAAATGTCACGCTCTTCGTGTGCAAAAACAACGAAACGGTCTGGAAACGGACTATCCACATAAACTCGAACTTTATCCCACGTTTGATGGTCATTGAATGCTATTGATGGTGAATACACCCACATCCATATGGGCTTGTTTGAAGGTAGGGTACCCCAAATCCAGCCAAAGGAGCGTACATGCCTACAAACTTCAGACCGAGAAGGGAACAAGAATATAATACATCTATGGCATGATGATGAGAGAATCATGGAATACATGCGGGAAAATATAGAAAAATTATCGAAAAACAACAAAAAGAACAACAACAGTAACAATAGCAATAAGAATGACAGTAACAGTAGCAATGCACAAATGTATGAACCCTCAAAGCAGCTGGGGCACCTTTTATCCGTCTTGAGCCAAAACATATCGTTAGGTGGATATAGGTCTACACATGTTATGTAGGAACCCATACCTAAACACCCCTCCTAAGTTCATGCCTTTAGCATAGAACTTCAAGCTACAAGCTGTTTCGCCTGTCTGTTCCTACCTTCTACAGACACTTGCCCCATGCGATTCATGTGGCACCATGCAGCGTCAGAAGGAAGTGGCTTCGTACACAGGTCAGACAAATTCTGATGTGTACCCACCGGCTCGACCTTCAGAGTTTTGGTCGACACTTTCTCCTGGATCCACAGGAACCTAGTCTGCACGTGTCTTGTTTTACCAAGACCCCTCCTCGACACGATTCCTCTTGCCGCCGAACTGTCGCTCAGCAGAACCAGTTCTGTGTCGATTTTCCACTCGTCAAGCATTGCCTTTAAACCCAATCCTACTGACCCTGCTTTCACCAAAGCGTAGAATTCCGACTCTCCACTGCTGAGGGATACAGTGCTCTGCAGGTTACTACTGTGCTTCACACAGCATGAACCCAACATACACACGATCCCGGTTGTGCTGCGACGGGTCTTCAAGTCGCCAGCGTGATCTGAATCACAAAACACTCGGATGGTGTTGAACATCTTCTGGGGTCGAAACTTCGATACCACTCGCATGTGACCGGACAGATAACGTCCAAGGCGCTTGAGCTTTCCCCAAGCATATTCGGTAGGATTTTGCATGTGCCGAGCAAGTGACTTCGTTGCTTCAGCCAGGTCGGCACGATCCATTGACAGGTAAGCAGCTCGCATAGTAAGAGACCTGTATTGTGAAACTTGTTCTGGTTCCAAATCGGGCTGTTCTTCAGCCGCGATAACATCTTGTATTTTCTGCTTTTCCGCCGGTGTACTAACCGGTTTGCAACCTTCCAAGTTTAGGGCTTTCACGATGTATTCAGCATGGCGTGGATCTGCTTCATAGTCCAACACGCCAGTCGTCTTGTCATAGCTGATCACTCTATTGAGTACGCACATTGACGTACCATCTCCTCGTTCTGGACCAATCAAGCCGTCCACACGATATTCAAATTTCTTCTTTAAGCATTCTTCGAGGTACTTCAAAGCTTCATCGTCACCAAGGCAAATGAAGTCATCACCGTGAACGATGAAACGCAAGTCCATTCCATCATGGATGAACAGTGCCGGCCATGCTTTGCACTGTCTGAAGTTGTTCTCCGTCAGCAACTGCACGTACGTAGATTGCCAGATGTTCGCAGCATCCAGCGTCCCGTACATTGAGCGTCTGAGGAGCGCGCAAGCTCCCTCTTGTTCACTGCCTTCTGGAAGAGTACAGAAAACCCTCCTCTTGGATTCTCCGTAAAAGTCCGCCCTGGAGATGTCTATCAGCATCATTTTGTAGGGCCTGTTCCTTTTGCTGGTGCGCTTCGACACCATCAACGCACAAAGCACTTTGAGAGATTCCAGCGGAGGCATTGCACTGAAGCTTTCGAACTCCGCCAGTGATTTCGATGCCTTCTTCACTTCCCGAACCACCAAGCGAGATCGGTAGTTTGGATGACTGTCGTCACCCTTGTTCCGGTCCACCCACTTAAGGGTTATTGGAGGACGGTTGGTCTCCTCACAGCACATAGTGGTGGGAACAACATCCCATAGCTGCTGCTTCTCCACCCACTTCATCTCTTCCTTTCTGGCTTCCAAAACTTTCACAGGGTCCAGTGGCATGCCTGTCACTGAGTCCACATAGTCGCTGACAGTCTCGTCCACGAAGCTTTCGGTTTGGTCATTTGAGGTATCATCGGGTGAGGGACCCGATGTGAGCTCTGCCAAGGTACTGAGTTCGCCTCGAACTCGAAGCTCTCGCCGAATTCCATTCAGAATTGCAGAGACCAGTTTCGGTGGATACGTCTGTGCAACGCGAGCTCTGCCATTGATCAGGTGTACATGCCTGTGTCCACCTTCACATTTTCCTTTGATACACTTTGCCATTTCAGGAGAATTGGTCAGCCAGCAGGTATCCTTCCTGACATATCCTACACCCTGCTGATCCTCGGCGACCATCTCCCATTTGCACATAGGCGACTCCACCTTGTACACTCCAGGCAGGCTTGCCAAACGCTCGATTTCCGGTTCCTGCCAGCTTGCGCTGGGTTTCGGATGTTCATGCAGAAAGAACCTGCCATGGTTGTGTTGCTCCAAATAGCAGTCCACAGCCACCTTCAAGTGCATTCGACCTTCTTCTAAGATCTGCTGATTCTCTTCATCCGTTCTTTTGTACTTGCTGAGATTCTGAAGTGGACTAAATGGCCCACACGGAGGTGATCCGACAAGGAATAGCGGTTTCTCCTTCTTCAGGAGCCTCTTCAACTCTCGCTGATCTGTGTCCTTTGACAGATCCCAATGGTCTCCTTTCGAGTTCTTGGAAACCATCAAATCAACTGCAAATCCAGGTCGAAGACCGAAAAGGTTAGCCTTCGAAGTGAAACGCTCGGGATTGTAGATCTCGGCCACGTCGCTTTTGCTGATTCCCATGGAGCACAGTAGTTGGCTGATCTCGTAGATCTCTTTCTTGGACTCCAGTTTATGAAACATGTTGGCTTCCAAAACGGAAACCATGTCCGATTGCCCAGATCCTTGACTCTGAGCTGCCGGTGCCCCACTTCCTTGAGCTGGAGGTGCTGGATCGTTAGATCCACGGGCCTCTTCTCTTTCAGCCACCTGAGCTTCTCGATGGCTCTCTTCACCTTCTCTCTTTTGTCCCCTCTTCTCCGGAGACTTCTGCCTCTTGGCTGCCCCTCCTGGGGAAGACCCTTCCTCCTCCAAAGGACGTCTCACCGGGTCCGGTCGGACCAAAGGTCCGACTCGACCCTCGGGTTGTCCAATGGCTGCATCTGCCGCCATCTCGACAGCATCATCTGGGCCATCCCGCAGGACCAACTCATTCGGCTCATCCGCGTCCGCTGACGCCTCGCCTTTCCTTTTCTGAGCCTTCAAGACTCGAGCCCGTCCTTCCTCAGTCCGAAGAAGTCTCTGTTGCACCAGGGTTCGGCACTCACTACTGTGAGCTCTTGCTGGCAATCCAACTTGAATCGCATTGCAACCTTCGCATCCAGCTGTGTAGTTTCCCTCCACGTCGGCTTTCTTGACATAGAGGTTCCTTGGCAGCGAATCTCGATCCGCTGGGACTGGCATCAGTCGTACGCCAGGCTCAATTGCAGGCATTGCAATCGCTATTGGTGCGTCCAAGTCTTCTGGCTTCTGTGGCCTCATCTTCCACGGAGTGCCACACATCTGATCGAAATCTTCCGTCGACCAGCGTTTCTCCTCCGGCATCCGTTTCACGCTGCCACCCTTGATCACACCATCCTTGGTCATGACCAGTGCGTCGCCATTGCGACCATGGGCCCCCATGAACATGCCTTCCCGCATCGTGTCATAGGGCCCTTCCAGATAGCTCTTCAGAGGCTTGAACCACACTCTTTCACCAAAAGTGACGGATGGTCGTTTCCACCGTCTGCCGCGAGAACGCTCATATGGCGTTCGCCCGTCCGTTCCCACTCTGAAGCGGGAGATCATGAAATCAGCATGACGACCGACCCATGCAAGAATCGGATGCCGATCTCTCACCTGAATCCCCAGCTTTTCTTCCAGGGAACTCTTCATAGCCTTGATCTGCCTTTTGGTTTCTCTAACAGCAACTTCACAAGCGCCGTTTGCCTGCGAGTCTCCTGTCTTTGACTCCTCCAAGACGATCTCAACCGTCTTGATGCCTTTCTTCACAGCCTCCTTGAGGGACTTGATCGAGTTCTCGTTGTCCGACTTCAGCACCAGTCTCCTGTACCCTGACTCCTCAAGGCACTGGATGACGAAGTTCACCGCGTAGTTGTCTGCGCCCTTGGCTGGAACCACGCTGCACCACATGTAACCAGTGTACTCGTCTTTGACCTGCAACGAAGGCAATTCGCCTTCAGGTTCAACTTCTGGCCGATTCTTCGAATCCCTGCCCATCCAAAAGTAGTCCATTGAAATGATGGGCAAACCACGTTCATCTTTTCCTTGTTCAGGTTCGCTAGGATGCCGCTCATGCAGTCCACGAGCGCGCATACAGTGGCCACACCAGGTCCTATGGATGGTGTGCCCTGTTGCTTCGTGCTCTTCGATTTCCTCCTTTGTTGGTGAAACCGGCGATCGAAGCAGCTTTGGCTTTCGACCGCTCTCCTCATCTTGCATTTCTTCTGGACTTACGGATTCACCTGCCTGGTGAAACCCTCGTCCATTGCTCCAAGATTCTTGCCAAAATGGCTTGACTCGTTGCCATTGACCGAGCCATTCAACCAAAGTTCGAAGACAAAGATGCCCTTCTGCTCATAGAGTTGCGTAACTTGTTGGGCTTCCCCAGGGTGCTTCTTCACCAGGTCGTCATACGCAGCACGGAGTCCTTGAGCAATCTTGCCATTCTTTGGGATGATGACGCCCTTGCCATCCATGAGCATTACCACATTCTTCTTTGAGACTGCGGTGCCACTCGCCAGCATTCGATGGACATCAATCAACCGACCTTCAACACTTTTGCCAATGCCATTGTTGTCGTACCCTTTGACGACGACGCCTCCACTGTCGGAGAGAAGTTCACCAGAGGCCGTCTTATATGAGGCATTGTTCGGATTCTCATCGCCCTGAATCAATCCAGACTTTTCCAACTCAAGCGGCACTGCTGTGACTGCAGCGCCAGTGTCGAAGTTCACCACCAACTTCGTCCATTGCTCAGAACTTCCATGGCAACTGTTCCAACCGCCTTCAAAGGAATTGATCTCCTGCACCTTGCCGAAGGTCTTGACCACCACGTCGTTGCGTCTCTTGATGAATCCAATTTCACGATCAACCTCAGAGTGGCCCATATTGCATCGTGCTCCTCGTCGACAAAACGATCGTTTGAAGTCACTGCACATCATGCCACCCTTGGGATGCTGCAGATAGAAAGCATCTTCATTCTTTGCCTTCCTTCTGCGAGCTCTGGCAGTTTTGACCCGAAAGGATCTTGCCAACTTCTTGGACTCAGTCATTGTCCGTTGACGTTTCTTGTGGATGTCGACCCGTTGTCTGCTCATGACACGCTGTTCATCAGCGCGTGTCTCAGTCTTGAACTTGGCGACTTCATCTTGGGTCAATTTCCGGTATGACCTCGACGACTTGACAAAGACACCAGCGTCCTTCCGCTTGAGATGTCCTCGACGAACCAACTTTGGCTTTCCACTCAAAACTCGGATCTTATCCTCCTCGACGACCACTGCCTCTGTCTCGATGCCTCCTAAAGTTTCGTCGTGGTACTCCTCGTCCTTGACCTTCTTGCTGTCGAACTCTTTGTGCCAGGCTTCATCCAAACGTAGCTTCTCCTCAGCGCGTTCCTTGCCTCCAGATCGTCGATGAAGAGTTGCCTTACGCCGCTTCTTCTCCTCGAACCAAGCCTTTGAGTGAGAGACGCCGGCCTTCAGCGCAGCATGATATCGAGCGTCATGCCAGCTTTGATCGTTCACTGTTGCCTCAGTGAGCTTGAAGCTTCCTTGAGCCTTCTTTTCCTTTGCCTCCTTGTCGTTCTCGCGGATCTTCTCTTTGAGCTCGTTCTTGCGAGCATCAATCTCTGCGATGCGTTTCTCAATCCGCTTGTACTCGTCCTCGTCGTCGCACTCTTCAAGTTCCTGGATCTTCTCACGTTTCTCCGCGTCTAAGTTGGAGACTTCCAAGAGCTCCACGGTTCGATGCATCGCTTGGGTTGACGAAGTTCCGATGGGTCGAGACGGTGTTGGGAGCTCGGCCGATCCAGAGGATCGACTCGGCTCTTCCGCCTCCGGAGCCGACCGAAGACCAAAGGTCCGGTTCGCTCCTTCCATCAGCGACTTCGAGACCCTTTCGAGGAAGCCGATTCTAAGATCATTGCGATGATGTTCGACCAGCTTCAGAGACTCCGCATTGGATTCCCGGCTCAACGACAAGGGGTCGTGCTTGTCTCTCAACTCCTTCTTCTCATCCTCACTCAAACCATTGAAGTGGTCGATAGTGATGCCTTTGAACAGACAGATCGTCTTGTCCAGGACATAGTGGAACTTCTCAGGCTTGAGGATCTTGAGATAGTCACGAACTGACTTCTTCTCAGGCTTGTCCTTGGAGGATTCTTCAACTAGGCGTTCACGTTCCAAACCACAGACTCCACACTTGTGGTCATGGTGCTTCTCATTGGAGTTCCTCTGACACCTGAAGTGAAAGCAAACGTCACACGGCTCAGCGCAAGTCGAATCCTCGGACTTGACCATCACGTACTTGTCACCTTCGGGACGAACAGTCACAAAAGTTGAAGAGCTGCTCGGTTCAGCATCCTCCTCCATCTTGACGTCGTCCTCGCTCCATTCCTCCAGCATGGCAATGCTGAGAAACCCAGTGTCCAAAGGTTCGGCTTGAGGCTCTTCTTCAAGGTTTCCAACACCCTTCGATTTTCCACCTGACTTCGCCTTGGCCTTGGGTTGCTGGTTCTTGTTGGCAGCACCTCCACCGGCCGCCCAACAGTCCTTCTTGAGGTGTCCGATCTTGTTGCAATTGTGGCAAACTCGGGTCTCTTTGGATCCACTACCGGACCCTTTGCCCTTGTTGTCGGTCTGTCCGGATCCTTTGCCGGACTTGCCTTTCGGAGAACCTTTCTTGCAATCTCCTTTGCCTTTCTTGCCTTTGCCCTTCTTACCTCCTTTTGAGAAAGAGCCCACGTCCATTGGGTCACCACCAGAAGCTGAATGCGCACCAGATGCATCTCCAAGCTTCAGTCGGTGTCCCAGTCTCGTTTCCAAGAACATCACCAACTCCGCCCTGACGTCAGCGTAATCGCTGTAGCGACTGCGATTCAGTTGTAGGTGTCGTTCTATCTCTACGGGGCATAATTGCTCAATGATCGACACCTTGATCTCGGAATCCAACTGTTGCCGGGTGCCATCAGATCGTCTTCGTTGCTCGTATTGACGAACATTTTCTTCCCAAGTTTCCACTGCCGCCCACAGATGATCCAACTTCGTGCATTTCTGTGGTGACAGGATTGCCCGAAGCATTGCACCACGTCGTCCACCCGTGCTAGGATCGAAGCGTCGATTCAGTTTGCGCCACGCTTCAAGTCCTTGAGATTTTCCAGCCGACCTCACCACCTGGAAAGCCTCTTTCTCGCAAAGCGTTTGCAAGATGGCATACAGCTGACCAGAGATCTCCTCCACATCCTCAATAGTCTGATGGGTCGGATTCACTGGTCCAAAGGCCGCTTTGATCTCCGTCGCAGTGATCTCAGTGTCGAAATCTTCTGCCCACTCCAACACTGCCTCCATCTTTGGGTGCACGCTGGTGATGAAAGCTTCCATCCTGGTCTTCCAGTACAACCAATTGGACTCTTCTCCAAGAAACCTGTCAGGCTTCGCCAAGCCCCGATTGTCCACCAAGGTCACCTTCTTGTCAGGCCGATCGCGCAACGCCTGAACCAGGTCATTCTGACTCCTTGCAAGCTCCTGGAACGCTGCCCCAACATTGGCTTGAAACGCCGCCTGTTGCTGCTGTGCTTGGGCTTGGGCTTGCTGTTGCTGTCCATTCAAGACCTGATCCAACTGTTGCCTGAGAGCCGCTTCACGCTGTTGTGCATCCGTCTGCCCAGCTGTCAGTTGCTCCACCTGTTGTCTAAGAGTCAACTCACGTTGTTGTGCCTGCTGCATGTTCGCCTGGAGTTGCTGGACCGTGTCGATGAGCTGCTGCGCGGTCATTGCTCCTTGTCCTTGAGTTGCCGCCATTGCTGCAAGTGATGTCCCAAGTTGGCCCAAACACGTCTCAACCTGCGGATCCTTATCACTTTCCTGACAAGTCTCTTCCACCTGTCAGCCACGCTCTGGTCCTCCACGACCCAAAGCCTGGACGCGCCGATCCAAAGGATCGACAGCAGTCCAATGGCTGTTGCGATGATCCACCAATGGTCAATCGCCACAAGGATCAGTGCAGCCAGCTCAACCAGACGCTCCGCTACCATGCACAAATGTATGAACCCTCAAAGCAGCTGGGGCACCTTTTATCCGTCTTGAGCCAAAACATATCGTTAGGTGGATATAGGTCTACACATGTTATGTAGGAACCCATACCTAAACAAGCAATAAGAATAACCATAGATTACATATATTTATATAATCATATAGAATCACGATAGATCATACAGAATAGCCAAGAAATGACCATAAATATCATCAAGATATCCATGACAAATCAGACCTTCCCCGCACATGGCACGCCTTGGCTCCTCTTGGCGCAGACATCGCACGATGCATCTCACCCAGCTCGTTGGCCTCGCTTTTCGGAGATTTCCAGCTGGGAAAAACCCATGGGTTTTACCAATTTGGAACCGTGGTAAGTCGTGAGAATCGATAAAAATGTTGTGTTCAAAAAAGCAACCAATGATACGGTACCAATTGATTGATAAACAATGATTGTAAATGGGGATATATTCTATATATATATATGTGTGTCGTCTCAAATGGGGATAAATTTGCCATGATTGACCATGATTGGCCCATCTGATTAAATGTTTGTCGAAATTGTCATCCAGTGGTAAGTCGTGAGATGACAATGCTTGGTGTAAATTGATGGTGAATTCGAAGTGTCCATGGATTTTATCGAAAAGTGATGGAAAAATCCGGATTGTCATGATTTACCTGCAGCCAAAACTGGAGATTCGAGTGGATAGCAATGAAAATGGATAGGTCCAACAAGAAAGGGCAGAAAAAATCCATACATCATATGAGGATTGCGGTGGAAATGTAACAGTCATCCCTAGAAAAATCACCCGAATTTTCGAAATAGAAAAACCAATGGCAACAATCCAGGGCCATTTAGGCACCAAAAATCATCCAAAATCCTGGTTTAGAGGGCTTCCATAAGGGTAATGAACTAACCCTTGGTGATTCCTGGGGACTCATGCACTAGGGATTATCAATTATCCTTCCAAGATCCTGGTTCGGGGGTTGATGATAATCCCTAGTACAAGCCCCGAACTAATCAACCATTGCTCGAATGGAGCTTCTGAATTACACTATTGATAAATGCTTCCTATGGTGGCTCGTTCAGCCCAGCAAAAGCGCAGCAAACATCTTAGTAACACACCCTCATAATATGCATACAGTACATATTACTCCTACGGTGTGGTTCCATGTGGTAAGTAATAAGGT